TATCAGAGCTGACTTTTCTACTTCTGTACCAATATGGCTTTTCAGTAAATTACACTTGGAGATAAAAAAAAGTCTCGGAAGTTTCTTCTGCTGTTTGATGCTGTCAACAGGCAGTTTGTAATTTGGGGGATTTTTCTGAGATATTGTTATAATGAGACTTATTCTACTCATACCTATTGCCGTGTGTTTTACTTGGGTCAAGATTAGGCTCAAGACTGAATTTCAGCAAGTTGGAGACATTGTTCTGGCTCCATCTGCTGCTCTAGGAGGAGTCCCACTTCCCCCGAAGGAACAAGGAATCTGAGAATTCTCCTGACTCAAAGTTCCTGATAGGAGTAACTGATAAGAGATTTTGTAGCAAAGAGATCCTTCAACCATCTTTAGTTGATCTGCTAGTTATAGCCTTTCTTGGCCAAAAGCCAATGACGACACTGTCAGATCCCTAACATGATACTGCCATTCAAATGAAGGGAGTGGGGGAGCATGAGGATAAGCTGTATTTTTATAACCTTTTCTCTGGCGCCTAAGCGCCCTACAGTATTCTCACTTTCTTCGGAATGTAATAAGGAGGGAGGGCCATGTGGATTGTTTCAGGTTGTTGAAAGTGGAAGATCCTGAGAACGGCTCCTTATCTGTTTCTCAGGATGGCCATTTCAAAAACATCTTCATACCTGTGGATTGGGTGAATCCACATTTGGACCGGAGGGAGGGAGGGAGGGAGGGAGGGAGGGATTGATTGATTCTAAAGCCCTATTTCTAACTGTAGAGTTTGGGAGGGAATTTAGAGTCTGTTTCGCCTGTCCTGCTATCACTTCTTCTCAATAAAAGATTCCTTTTGAAATACGACGTTTTCAAGAGTCTATACTTTCTTGGGAAAGGAGGAGAGGCAGATCCTGACAGTGACACTTGTCATTGTTAGGCCACAGAAAATTGTGTTTTGTGGTGCTGTGTCAGTCCTACAAGTAGATCAGGCAAAGAAACTCATGCCATATAAGTTAGCACTACTTTTATTGGAACAGTTATAGTAGCAAAAATTTTCAAATCTGAATATTCTCACTTTATATTTGGCAAACTAGGGCGGGTTGAACCTGATGCCATCACCCTCTTCTCACTATGAACAACTTGCCCTCTTCCAATCAGGAGTCGTCTCACTCTTTCATCCTTTCGGAAAGGGACGGAAACAGTATTCTGCTTGAGAATGTTCAGACTTTTATTTAGGATACAGCAACTGACATACTTTTAATTACCGGTATTTATTTTGTTCTGAAGTCAATACAAATTCATTATGAGCCATAGAAAAAGTAATCTAGTGACCTGAAATGAATCCATGTAATAGCAAATATTTTAAAGGGTTTCACAAAAGCTTCAAGAATTAAGGGTTTGTTTGTTTTTTTCAGCTTCCATATGATAGCTCTTAGTTAATGACCATTGGCACTTCCAACAAAGAAAGTCATTGAGGACGCCAGCAGGAAGTCACAAATGGGAATCATGAGATGTCTTGCCTAATGACTGCAAAGGATTCTCCTAGTAACTGCAACTGGAATGGCTGTTGTAAGTTGGCGCAATTGTGTGAAACTGAACTTTATGATCGCATCACTTAACAATAGAGTTCCTGTACCAATTATTATTGTTAATCAAGGACTATCTATAGGTATATGATGATTTTGATAAATCAAGATGGCCAGAAACCTGAAATATAGATGTTTCTTTTCTTGAACAGTAAAGTCAGGGACAAGCATATTAGGACATTGTGTGTTTGTGTGTGCTTCTGGTGGAGAATTTGTGGCCCTCCACAAGTTGGAGGCGTTGGATATGCTCAACCTTTTGTTAATACTCTGGGGAGACAAGATAACAATAGCACTTAGACTTAGACTCCACTTTCCAGTGCTTTACAGCCCTCTCTAAGCAGTTTACAGAGTCAGCAGCCTTTTGCCCCCAACAATCTGGCTCCTCATTTTACCCACCTCGGAAGGATGGAAGACTGAGTCAACTTTGAGTCTGTTGAGATTTGAACTGCCAAATTGCAGGCAGCCGGCAGTCAGCAGAAGTAGCCTGCAAGGACTGCACTCTAACCACTACTGCTCCTGAAGACCTCTTTCAACGTCCTGACGGGCTGAAATGGAGAAGAGGCAGAATTGTTCAGAGTTGCTCCCCAAGATAGAACCAGAAACAAGGGGGTTAAAATGCATATGGAAGCCGATTTCATCCAAGGTGAGATTTTCCTACTATCTAACCATGAACCATTCCGCTTTTGCAGTGCCCGCTCTTTTACCAGAAGTATTTAAACCAGAAGCTTGGGTGGGCAGATCACTGGACACTCTTGATTTTTCAATCCACCTTAATTCTATGAAAGGAGACGATGTTCAAGAATGCAATAAATAATTCTGACGGAAGAGAATATTTAACTGCAATGTATGTATGTATGTATGTATATGTGCATATATATACACATGTAGAAAGCATCATCAAAAGAAAAAATTAACACATCATTTAATGTTCCAGCATAGTAACAGTTACAGAAGTGAAGGCACATTCTTGAGATAATGACATATGCTCCACATAAACTAATATTGCACACGATTGCTTAATATAAGTTCTTTTTAGCTTTCTTTCAATGACCTTGGACTGTTTCCTGAAAACGGAATCAGCAGATCTGGGACTTCAGCTTTTGACTGCAGGAAGCAAAGAGGCTCAGGGAGGCAAAAAGTAGTTCTAGCTTTTTTTTAAAAAAACAACAACACACGCAGTTAATTTTTCAAAGTGGAGAAAAAGGGAAAGAGATTTGCCTTCCTTTGTGAAAGAAAATTATGATCAGCACAAGGGGTCAGAAGAACGACTCTTTGGCCTTTTTTCAACTTACCCAAAATGTTTGGTCAACTGGTGTCTGTCTCAGGTAGACCTCCTCAACAAGACTGGGATGAGTAGAAGCAGGTAAAATATGAATGTGCAGCACAGACATAAAAATCTCCAGAAAGCCCCATCATAGATGCAATAAAATCAACCCTGCATTATTTTCATTTTGGATGCACTGATATATGTTTGCATAAGATTTATGGGTACTCCTTGGCTTGTGACAGTAAGACTTAAACTGTAAAGCACTTCCAGTTGTCATAAAATGTCAGACATGCCCCCCCCCCCCATCACACAGTCAAATGACTTCATTTTGGGCGCTTGGCAACCAACTGGTTGAAGTGTCCTATGGCCATGTGACTGCAATTTGAAAATGTTTTTGGAGAAAATGTTCATTCAGGAGAATGGATTCATTTAACAACCACATGATTGCCTCAATCACCGCTGTAAAAACAATTGAAAAAGTGGGTTAGGTTGCCTGGGTGCCTCAATTTACAACCGTAATTACTTAGGACCAAAATTCTGGTTTGAACGATGGCTGTTGAGTTGAGAACTATTTGTATATTTCTGGAGTGAAAGTCTGCTCTGGAAGCATTCCCCCCCTCCCCCTTTTGTGACTTGGGAGCCTGCAAAAATGCTTGGATTGCAACTTGCATTATAACCAGCCAGGCTGCTGGATGATGCCAGATGACGATGTCAGGAACCAGGAACGATGGGAAGCAAATTCGGTGCATATTAAGAGGATTGAGGCTGGCTTGGAAGATCTAAGAGGCTGACAGACATTAAAAGCACCATCACTAATCCTGACCTCTCTGAAGCACTTTTTCAACATTTTTTAAAAAAAGGGTTCTTGCCTGAAATGCATACAGGTGGGCACCAAAAGGAGAGATGGGTGCACAGTATCTTAAAAGAAGGGGACATCAGCTGGGAAGGGAAAGGGACTTTTGAATTTAAACGCCAGAGAGAAAATGGGACGGAATGACATGGGGAAAATCCTGACTTGCATATATGTCTGCATATACGCTTTGTCTAATAATTTAAATACATCAGAAAAACATGTTTCAGATACATGGAACGACCAGAAGCAAGTAACAAAAATAAATACATTTAAACGAAATGCATAGCTTGTTCTAAAATCTGCTTTTGAAGCTGTTTGGCTGATCTCTGATAATCTAAGACGCCTGATAAACAAGTGTGCTTGAGGCAGGAAAGGAACCTTTTTTTAACAAAAACAGCAACTTTACATTTTCGATAAGCATTGCACATTGAAAGCAAAGAAGCAACTTTTGGTTCTTTGAAACAAAGTCAAGTATAAAACCTTATTCACAAACATATCAAGATAAAGACTCTAAAAATCTTACCAAGGCATGCCAAGATGGCAGAGAATTGGATGAGAAGAGAGAGTTGGAGGGAGGGGGAAGGGATGACTTCCTCCTGAAACTATGGAATTCAATTCACCATGTGAATTTTCAGTTTTCATACTATACAATGCTATTCACCTGATTGAGGCATATACTTACATTAATATATAAGAAGTCATGCCCTGCTCTGTGAGCAGAATTTTTAATACACCTTTAAAAAGCCCAAACTTACTTTGCTCCATGTCAAAAGCACCAATGCTGCTCTTCCCCCAGAGCCTGGGCCAGCCAGGGCCCCAAAACTGGTTTGGCCAGCAAGCAGGAGAAAAGCTGTGGATATTGTGAACCACAATCCACAACCATCTGAAAAGGGCCATCTTGGTCAGGGGGATAAGCCAGGCATGAGCCCCGTTTCCTAACAACCTGATCAGCTAAGAGCAGAATCGGGGCCTGGAGAACAAAAACTCGCTCCCAGCAGACTCAGGAAGGTGGGGGGGGGGGAAGACACCTCAGGAGGAAATGTTTAATTCTCCTTGGCAGTGGAGGCTTCTGGATCCCATTCCAACTGGTACAGTTGGAACGGGCTTGGTGTTGTGCACAAGGATATGCGCAGTGCGCGCGTGTGGGGCGAGCGCATGCAATGTAGCTGCCAGCGATGCTTCCAAAGCCTCCATGTCGCTCCAGCTGCTCGTCAGAGCATTGCGTAGGTGCTGTACATGCCGTGCACGGAAGCGTCAAAGGCTTTAAAGGACAGGTAAGGAGCTTGGGCGGGTGGGTGGGCCCTCTGGAGCACTGTACCGGGATGGTACCCAGTGTTCCAGGCAGGTTCCGGTACGCCCGTACCGGGGCGTACTGCCTGCAACCCATCACTGCTCCTTGGGCACAATTTTACTTTTCCTCTCTCTTGGAGTTCTTAGTGGATGCAATGGGCCATTGGGGATGTTTTTTGTGTGCAACTCCCAGGAAAGATAAATAAGTAGTGCAAGACACCCCTGGAAGTGGATTTTCACTCATCTACAAAGAATTTTGCAGTTCTTTCTTTTTGTATTGCCAGCACAATTGCTGCTGCTTTCTGAGCCCTCTCTCTTCCAGAGGCCACTCCTGGAGGACTAAAAGAAGAGAAAGGATTTTTAAAAGCTGTGGCTATGTTTCTTTAGCCGGGTATTCCAAAGGGTTTTATAAGGGGGATTAAAATACCTAAATTGTGTGACTTAAACCAAACTGAAAATTAAGTAAACAATCTTTTTCATGAACTTTGATCCTGACAGGTGTATCTCACCGTTTTAAATGAAGACAAGTTCATCATCATCAGGTAAAAAAGACGCCACTGATCTCTCAGGGCTAATTCCCGCAATTCTCACTAATTCAAAATTATAAAAGCAACAAAGCCAATTCTGTTCTCCCTACAGCTGCTCACCATCAAGTCAAAGCTTGTCTTTTGAAGTCAGTGTTGGAGGAAGACTGATCTTACAGGGTGGAGGGGGGGGAGGAGGCCCCAGCCTCTGAATTCTCTCAGCCAGGCAAACCTGAGACATTATTCTTCACATGATACAAACAGTTGAGAACAACAGGGAGGCCACTGGCAATCTCAGGTCTTTAAGGGTACTGGATGATGACTGGAGGAAGAAGGAAGAGCTGGTTTGGCTGGATCCCCACACAAAACAAGAAGGGAAGAAACTTGAGGGAGCAGGGAAGGATGGCACGGCTTTGATTCCTGCAAATCAGGCAGGGGAAGGAAGGGCAAGCTCACCACAAGAGTCTGTTCCTGCATTCCTCACAAGCCACAAATGAGGGTGGGACAGACAAGGTGGAGTCCTGCTGAGGCCCAGAAGGTACCAGCCTGGTCTGACTGGCTCTCAACAGCTTCAGCAGGAGCAGGAGCAGGAGCAGGAGCAGGAGCAGGAGCAGGAGGAGGAGGAGGAGGAGGAGGAGGAGGAGGAGGATACAGTCTGTGGTTGGCCAAGAGGCAAGACATCAAACAGAAGGACCGCTCTGCTTTCTCTCTCTCCCAGTTCCAGCCGTGACGTGTCCTGAGAATGCCTCTGCTCCGATGTAGAAGTAAGGCACGCTTCTTTGGCAAATGGGGGGGGGGGGGGAACAAGACCTAGAAACTGTCTGCTGGTAGCTGGGAGGTATCCTTATTTTGGCTTCTTCCCCCCAAAAAGCAACTTGAAAAGCAACTCAGTACTGTAGCTCCGGGTTCTGCTTCCTTCTGGAATCTTTTGTCCCATTGCGGCTGCTCAGAGGGGCAAAACAGTGTAGAAGACTCTGATCTCCCTGGGGGGGAAAGAAAATCCAGAGTTCCTGCACCACTTCAGCTGAGCAGGTCAAGCACAAGAGATGCCCGAACAGCCGAGCCCTCAGCCCTGCTCAGCCTCTTCAGACGGTCGTGTCGTCTTCCTCCTGGGAGTCCCCCACCAGAAGCGAGTGCTTGTCCGGCTCGCTCAGGGCCATGTTGTTGAGGGAGTGCTTGTCGGAGAAGAGGGAGCTGATGGAGGCTTGGCTGTAGTGAATAATTCGGTCCATGAGGCTCAGTTTCGGAGACCCTGGCCCAACGTCATCGATCCCAATATGGACACTGATTTCTGAGGTGCTCTTGCACCTCACCTGGGTGCGGGCGTGGCGCTCGTACTTCTCACAGGTAGGCTTCTTATAACTAAAGGGGAACAGAGCCGAGATTGGTGTGTGGTTATTGACAACTCGAGCAGGCACTGCCCAGACCTTACAGCCCTGAGAGCTCCATGGGTGAAGCTGACCTTTCTGGCACCTTTTACAATTGGGGCAGAAGGGTGCACTAGGGGCACACTTTGTGTCAAGTGTGAAGAGCACAACTCTTCCACAAAACTACTTCCACTCAAGAAACCTCTTGTCTTCTCTGCCTATCGCTTTTGTAGCCTCAAAACATTTTCCTACCCCGTTTTCCCCAAAATAAGACCTCCCCAGATAATAAGCCCAATCAGGCTTTTGAGCGCATGTGCTAATATAACCCCTCTCCTGAAAATATTGCAACACAGCAGCAGCCATGAGGTGACCACGCTCGTCACCTCCTGCACCTCAAAAATAATAAGAGCTACACGAAAATAAGGCCAAGCACTTATTTTGGGGGTCAAAAGAAAATAAGACTCTATCTTGTTTTCAGGAAAACACAGTACCTGCTTTAAGCAGATCATTTACTAAACCTTTTGTTTAAGCTGACATTATTGCAAGCCTTCCTTGCCCTGGATGGCCTTTCGCTCACGGAGATCCCCCCAAAAGGAACCCTTTGCCTCTCCTACACAAGGCACCTGGCAGTGCTCCCCCACTCCTGCCTGCAGAGCTACTCACAGTTTTAGCAGCAGAGAAGACAACACAACGGACACAGAGGAGGCTGCCATCGCTGCAGAGCCCATCCAAGGCTGCAGAACCAAGCCAATCGGCAGGAAGACACCTAGGACCAAGCATGCCAGAGTTCAGGGGAGCACCGAAACTCAAATACACAAAGCGTGAAGCATTTTCACAACTATTTTCTGTCACTGGAAGTGGGAGGAGGAGAGAAACTAGAACCCAAAGTGAAAAGAGGGGATTTAGGAAGCCACTTGCACAGAAGAAATTTCTTAGCCCTCCAAATTTATTTTATTTTGACTAAACTCAAAATTCCTCCTTTCTCTCCCTAAACCGACTGAAGCAAAATGAGAGGACAGTCCGGAATTTGATGTCCTCTTAATGCTTCTTTTCTCAGGTATAATTTCCTGCAGCTTTTTGTTTTACTTCTTAGCTCTCTCTCTATAAATTTAGAGACCTTTGCGGAGGACACCAAGCACTTGGTTCAGCACCAAGAAATGTTACATACCTGCAGCGACAGGAATACCAATAAGATTGTATATGAGAGCAAAGATGAAGTTGATTCGTATCCTTTTAACAGTTTTCCGTGATAAATCTATGCTTGCCACCACATCCAGCAAATCATTCTGCAAAATACGTTGATTCAGAAATTACTTAACAGGATTTATTCTATCAATCAACACTTTAGATTCCTGGTAACTTAACAAAGCTGCATCTCTTTCTGGACCTCAGCTAACTCAACACCATTGGACCATTTTAGAAAGTGCACATATAATAAAAAAATGTAGGGGGCAGGCTGGACAACCTGTAACCCTGAGGTCTGCTTTGCCTCCCTTTTCCTTTCATCTATTTTCCACTCAACTGCTGGGCTTCTGACTCTCATCTGGAGAAGAAACACACAAAAGGGATCCCTAAGGCTATATCCTTTTCCAGAAAAGGAAATAGAAAATAATAGCAATAGCATTTAGATGTACCATGTTTTTCAGAGTATAAGATGCACCGTTTTCAGAGTATAAGAGTGTGGAAATTTTGGTGCGTATTATATACCGAACATTTTTGGCCTCCCGAAGCTCCGCTCCCGCATCCCATTTTTGTGAAAAATGGACCATTTTTTGCCCATTTGCCCAAAACTGAGGTGTTTTTGCCTTCCCCCACCTCCCAGAAGCACTCTGCAGACTTCAGCAGGCTGGGGGAAGGGAAAATGCCCCCGTTTTGGTGAAAAACGGGCAAAAAACAGGGGCATTTTCCCCTTCCCCCAGCCCTGCTGAAGTCTGTAGAGTGCACCTGTGGGTCAGGGAGGACAAAAACTTATTTTTCTTATTTTTCTCTTTGAAATCTTGATACGTCTTATAATCCGAAAAATATGGTGTATACCACTTCACAGCCCTCTCAGAGCGGTTTACAGAGGCAGCCTGTTGCCCCCAACAATCTGGGTCCTCATTTTACCCACTGAGGAAGGCTGAGTGAACCTTGAGATTTGAACTGCCAAATTGCAGTCAGTCAGCAGAAGTAGCCTGCAGTACTGCATTCTAACCACTGCACCACCACAGCTCATCTTTAAAAATCCTGGCTCTGGCCTGCTCACTTTGTACCACTTCTCTACCCACTGGGCCTTTCATCAAAATAGGGTTCCTGGCCACCAAAACAGTATGTTTTTCATTCAAATGAAGAAAAGCGGCAGTAGGAGCAATTTAAGAGTGGAACGAGTGGCCCAGAGACCGCGACGCCCCTTCCCTGAAGGAGTCCTACTGGGCTCCTTCAATAGGGCTCCTCCCACCGAGTAGAGCTTGAGTTACAGCCCCTTGGATTCCCTCCTAGCTTTTCCCCTCCATTCCAGAAAGGAAATGCACAAATCGATGCAGGCTCAGACTTTGGCAGAGTCTTCCCCTCCACCACACAACTTACCCTGATCAAAACCACGTCAGCTGCTTCTATAGCCACGTCTGTGCCTGTGCCAATGGCAATGCCAACATCAGCCATGGCCAGGGCTGGGGAATCATTGATGCCATCGCCCACCATAGCCACCCGCTTCCCTTCTTCCTGCAGCTGCCTCACTTTGGCAACTTTGTGGGAGGGGAGCACTTCAGCAAATACTTTTGTGATGCCAACCTAAAAGCAAAAGAGAGAAAGCTGAAACCTCCAAAGGAAGGAGGCTATTGGGGGCAACACCAGGCTCCGGAATCAGGGTGAGACAAGGCCCCCTCCCAAGAGACTCTGGTCTTCCCAAGGCATCTCTCCAGTCACCAGTGAGGGAAGGCAAGATATGACAAATGAAAATACGACATAAGCCGACTGCATGGTAAAGCCTTGGAGGCATCCAGGGAAGCCTCAAGAATCCAGCAGCTTACCTGAGAAGCAATCGACCTGGCAGTTTTGCCATTGTCCCCCGTTATCAGGACCACCTCCAAACCCATCCCCTTCAGAGTCCGCACAGCAAGATCCGCTTCAGGCTTCACGGTGTCAGCAATGGCTACCAGGCCACACAACTCCCCTAGGAGACAAACAGGTTCCCATGAAGGCATGGATGCCTCCAGAAAAGACACACTTTTCCATTTTGTCCCTTCCTAAACTGGGAACTGACTTAGTCATGTTTTACAAGATTAAAAAAAATATGTGTTGATTGTTGTGAACTGCCCACAATTTTTGACAATCAGGCAGCCCAGAAGTTTAAGGAGTAATAATAGTGGACCACTTGTTTAGTTGCTACAAGAAGATCACACAGACTGACAACAAACAACGGCGTGACAAAGTAGCAACAATGGTGCATTGGAAGATCATAAATTTTAAAAATATATCTTGTTGCATTTATATGAATGATATGAAGGATTTCCAGGAGACAAGATTACTTAAAGTCAAATATATGGTTAGGATTAAGAGAGGAAAAAATTATGACACACCATCACAGAGAATAAACCTACATTTGTTTAAGCAAATAGTGTTCATCCAAGCTGGGCTTAACCCTGGTTTATTGTGGCATTCAATTTAGGCCAATGATTGAAATATTCCAATGAAACAAAGAGAATATTTTATTTCTAAAAGAGTTTAGTAAGAATTAATTTACTTATTTATTAGCTGTCCATCTCATATTGAAACAACTCTGTTGAATATTTGAAGACAAGACTATTTGATAGTATATATATTTGCATTATTTAAGAAAGAAGTCAATGACAATGGTTAACAAAGTTTAGACAGCCAAATGATTGAGCATTTATGTTTATTGTAAATGCAATAAATACTCCTAAATAGCCATTCAGAAATACTCTGGAGTTTTATTCATTATTTAGAACTTTTCTGAGATGCATCTTTGTCAATAATTTTCCGCCCATCGATCAACATTTATACCCTGCCAATTGTTTCAATATTTCCGGTTACACGTCCTTTTTCCCTGCACCCCTTTCAGCCTTTTCAAACTAAAAGGCTGAATATCCCAGTCCTCAAACCTACCATCCACAGCTATAAGAACTGCTGTGCGGCCTCGGCGCTCGTGCTCCATCATGGTTTCGTCAATGTCACTTTTGAGAAGAAGGCCGTTCCTAGACATCCACTCTCGGTTTCCAATGAGAACAGAGTATTTGTGCAACATCCATGTGTCTGAAGGGAAAACTTCCATTATCCAAAAAAAGAGAGGAACAATTTAACACTAAGAACAGTCGTTAGTCAAGGGCAGCCAAAAATTGGAACTATGTTGCACCGTTTCAGACTAATGAATATTATTCAAAGATATGGGATTTAGGGTTCACCGACAATACCGCGAAGCCCTTATCCGCGGCGACATAAGCGCGAAGGGCTAATCCATGCCGTCGGAAGCGCTAAACGAAATGCGACCCTACCGCGCCAACATAAGTGCGGAGGGCAAATCCGTGCCTTCCCAAGCGATCAGCAAAATGCGACCCTAAACCGAACCCTAAACCAAACCCCTAAACCTAACCCTAACCCTAACCCCTAAACCTAACTAAACCTAACCCTAAACCTAATCCTAACCCCTAAACCTAACCCTAAACCTAACCCTAA